AAAATGGTTATTCATGGCACTTTTTGTTGAAAAGAAGCAGAGGTCATCAATATAAAGGCTATGGGAGCACATAGGGCCAAGGCAAGATCATTAAGTCAAGCTTCAGAAAAGACATACATCACTCAAGATCTCCTGGGCATTTCTGACACGTATAACATTGGGTTCTTCCGGAAGAGATGTCCACTGGTGAAAGTAGTGCCGATACTCCAGATCACTGAGGATGTACTGGCATTTTTTAGCCAGTACATGATTCATCATATCATTGGGGATATGAACATTTGCTTTGGTGTCCTCATAATCTCTTCTGTAGTTCAACTGAAAAACATTATTTTTTAAAGACAAAAATAAGAAAGGAACTAAAATATGAATTACTCAGATCAATCTTTTTTAGAGTCTCATCTCTAATATAGATCAGTGTATCTTTAGAACAGACTATGATGTTTTGAAAAATGATAATTCATTATGTTGTTCTTATTTTTTAATTGTCTCATCTGATTGTAACATAGGGTAAATAGTGATCTTGGGCTTGCTTTTTTTCCAAATCCAGAGGCCTCTATATGTGTTTGATTTGGGGGATGGGAGGAAAGGAGGAAGCACAGACCCATAAAGAGGTGCTCGAGGCTACCTGGCAAGGGCAGGGAAATCTTCAAGAATAACTCATTCCTCACCACCTTCTCTCTTCAGCTAATCTTGAGCCAGAAGGTAAATTATAAGTAGGCAGATGCACTAGCACACTTACAGTATTAAATAGAAAAGTGAACATTTTGCTTACCGCACTCCTCATTTTTTGGAAATCCAGACAGTGAACCACACCAGGGAACTCACTGATTTCTTTTCCAGCAAGGTAGTGGCCCTTCTGCTTCACATACGTCTCTTTGTATTTAAGCTGTGAAGTAGATACAGCACGGAGAATCATTAGAATTTTCTAAGCAGCACCTTTCTTTTCAATAAACCCTCAAACACCAGCCTTGTTCCAGTATAACGACAGACACATAGACCAGTGGAAGAGAATTGAGAATCTAGAAATAAATCCAACCAGCTAGGGATAGCTGATTTTCAACAAAGGGAAAGACACAATGGGAAGACACAATCTCTCTAACAATCGTTACTGGCAAAACTGGACAACTATCTGCAGGAAAATTAAACAGGACTCATACGTGACACCATACATAAAAACAGTCTCAAAATGGATCAAAACCTAAATCTTAAATCCAAGCCTATGAAGTTCATGGAAGACAAATAGGGACAAAAATTGGGGACCTAATCTGTGGTATGAACAGAATATCAAACATACTAAAAATGCACAAACAGCAAAAGGTAAACTAGATAACTAGGCTCTCCTAAATATTAAATACTTATGCTTATCAAAAGACTTAATCAAAAGAGTATAAAGAATATCTTCAGACTGGGAAAAAAATTGGCTTTGACATATCTGGGTCCAATCTCTAAAATTTATAGAAAATTCCAACACCTTAATGATAAAAAGACAAACAATCCAATTTAAAACTGGGCAAAGGACATGAACAGATATTTAACCAAAGAAAACAGTCAGGTGGTTAACAAACACATGAAGAGATACTCACAATCATTAGCTATTAAAATCCATTGCCATCAAGTGGATTCCAACTCACAGTGACCCTATAGGACAGAGTAGAACTGCCCCACAGGGTTTCTAAGGCTGTAAATCTTTACAGAAGCAAACTACCTCATCTTTTCTCCCACAGAGTGGCTAGTGGGTTTGAACCCCTGACCTTTTGGTTAGTAACCAAATGCTTAACCACTGCTCCAGCACAGCACCTTCATTAGCCATTGTTGTTGTTGCTGTTATTAGCCATTAGAAAGATGCAAATTGAAACTACAATGAGATATACAATCTCACCCTGGCAATAAAGGCACTGGTCAAAAAAACAGAAACTAACAAATGCTGGTGAGTTTGTGAGGATATTGGAACTCTTATACAGGGATGGTGGGACTGTGAAATGATACAACCTCTATGGAAAATGGTATGTCACTCCCTTAAAAAGCTAGAAATAGAAATACCATATGATTTAGCAATCCCATTCCAGGTATCCTAGAGAAGAGCTGTGACACAAATAGACATTTACACACTCATGTTCACTGCAACATTATTTACAATAGCAAAAAGATGAAAACAACCTAAGTGTCCATCAACAGATGAATGGATAAACAAATTGTAGTGCATAGATACAATGGAATACAACGCAAAAAAACAATGATGAATCTGTGAAGCATCTTATAACACAGATGAATCTTGAGGACAGTATGCTGAGTGAAATAAGTAAATTACAAAAGAGCATATATTATATGAGACAATATTATATAAAGTCAAGAATAGATTTACACACAGAAAGAAATATTTATTGATGGTTACCAGGGATGAGAGGGGAGAGGGAAGAGAGAGAGAATCACTAACTAGATAGTGTTGTTGTTGTTGTTGTGTGCTGTCGAGTTGGACCTGACTCATAGCTACCCCTCCTTGGGTTTCTGAGGTGGTATCACTATGGAAGTAGATTGCCCAACCTTCCTTCCCAGGAGTGGCTGGTGAGTTTGAACTGCCAGCCTTCTGGTGAGCAGTCAAGTGCCTTAGGCACTACACTACCAGAGCTCCCAACTAGATAGTAGACATGTGTTAATTTTTGTGAAGGGAAAGGCAATACACAATATGGGGGAAGTCAACACAACACGACGAAGGCAAAGGAAGACACTGGGAGGTACACATGAATAAAGGCCAATTATGGTAAATAAGATAACTGCAACAGCAGTAATAACAAACAATTTGTGAATGGATTTACAAATAAGTATGCTAAATAGGAGGTCATACAGAACTATACTCACATGCATATACATAGGCATAGTTGTGGATTTTTCTACATACGTATTTGTATATGCTCCATGTATATTCATATAAATAATAGAACATATGGGGGCATAGCTAAGCAAACTTCTCAGACATAGCCAAACATCTTGTGGGACTGGATTTCAAGGCTAAGGACCATAGTCTCAGGGGACATTTATATCAATTGGGAGAACATTGTACATAAAGACAACGTTCTACATCCTAGTTTGGTAAGCAGCACCTGGGGTCTTAATAGCTTGCAAGTGGCAATCTAAGATACAACTATTGGTCTCTTCCCACCTGGAGCAAAGGAGAGTGAAGGTAACAAAAGACTCAAGGAAATAATCAGTCCAAAGGACTAATGGCCTCAAGAACCACAGCCTCCTTTAGTCTGAGACCAGAAGAAGTAGATAATACCTGACAATTCTGACCAGGAACCCAATAGAAGGTTCCAGTTAGAACAGGAGAAAAATGCAGAAGAAAACTCAAATTTATAGGAAAAAAAAGGGTGGGGGGCAGAAGTACTGGTCTGATGGAGATTAGAGGAACCCTTGAGACTGTTGCTCTAAGTCACCCTTCTAACATGTACCTGAAGCCACTCCCAGAGCCCACCTCTTAACCAAATAATAGACTGGACTATGGAGTAAACAGTAACACCCATGAGGAATATGCACTGTAGAATAATCAACTATACGAGACCAAAAAGGCAACATTTTCCCAAATACAAAGATGAGAAGGCAGGGAAGGACGGGGAAATTGGAGGAATGGAAACAGGGAACCCAGTGTGGAAATGGAAAGAGTGCTGACACATTGTGGGGACTGCAACCAATGCCATAGAGCAATGTGTGCATCAACTACTGAATGGAAAACAAATTTGCTACATAAACGTTCACCGAAAGCACAATCAAATGTTAAAAAAAAAAAAAAAAAGGACCCTCAAATCTATGAGAGGAAAAAGTCATACTGACCTCACTATTCACATAGTCAGCATGCTTGGCTCCAACAATGGGAATATAGCGCTCATCCAAGGTATAGCCATAGGCTTTGGTTCCTTCCCATGCCCCCTTATACAGTATCTAGAACAAAGAAATATGTGTCAACAAAAGTTTACATTCAACTTATTTCAGACATCACTTAAAAAATTGCGATAATATTTATATTTAAGAAAAGGCTTAAATCTTTACAGTCTTTATTGTGTCTATCTAAGAACAGGACAAAGTGAGTGACTTAGTGAAATTAAATCTATAGACTCTGAGGCTTTTTACAATAGGACTTAACTATATTTATAATTCTAGTAAAAGTGACAAGACATTTACACCCAGGGAATGAATCACAAGATTGTTCCATAAGAGATGTGTACCTGCACACATACAAACACACAACCCATTCTTTAAATTAGCTGGATTAAATTTTGGAGGACAAATCCTGTGTTTGTTGGCTGGATATGCTTAGACGTGATTAGTAAGAAGAACAAGCTTCTCCTTCCCTCTGGCTGTTGGTAGCTGCTCAGTTTTAGAGCTCTTTCAGAACTTGTTCCATTATTATCTATATATTTGCATATAGATCTGTTTCTCTCACCGGATTATGAGCTCCTCAGGGGCATATCTCATTGAATTTTAGCACCTTGGAGCCTCACACAGTGCTGGCACATTACAGGTGCTCAAAAGTTACCAGCTGAATAAACGCTACTCACCCTGAATAATACATTACTTCTAATAAAAACACAATGCAATAAAAATATCTTCTTATAAATTCAGCTGTTCACAAAATCAGCCAAGAATATGAGTAATGACAAGAGCGTAAACCTAAGTTGTATGTATATCACATAAACTGGAACTTACAGTACTATAGAGTTTTCCCATGTCCTTGGAGTGGGAGATATGTGGTGTGTCTGGAGAGAATATATACTTGCCCTTGTGTTTATTAAATGTTTCTTTATATTTCACCTAAGGAGAGAAAACAAAACAAAGAAAACCCTTTTGATTACTATAAACACATATTCAAATTTTCATAGGACCTACCTCATAATATGGGAGCACTTGTAGCATAGTGACTAAGGCATTTGACTGCTAACAAATAGGTTGGCAGTTCAAACCCACCAGCCACTCCTCGGAAGGAAGACTGGATAATCTACTTCCGTAGAGATACCACCTCGGAAACTGAAGGAGGGGTCACTATGAGTCAGAATCCACTTGACAGCAGTAAGTTTGGTTTACCTCATAATATAATAATTACTCCACATTTAACTTGATCATAGCCAAAAGGCTGAGAAGTAATCAGTCTACATAAAACTAATGAACAATCTGGTTGAATTTCAGTTCATTTTAGCTAATAGAATGGAATAATTTGGACAAGAATACAGATGTTATTTAAAAGTAAATACAGCATACCACCTATAGTGACTTTTAAGATACCTTACTCCTAAAACATTACATGCCCGATTTTCTTATAAATAATTATCTAGTGTTAAGCAAATCCATTCAATGATAGACAACACCCTAATCTATGTACTTTCTCATCTGCAAAGCAAACTTACATCACTTTGATTGACTGAGTTAATCTTGGCCAAAACAATCTCTGGAGGATCCACCACACTTGTAAAGTTAGGATAGTTGTTAAGAGCATCTTTTTTATATTTTATCTGCAAAGAAATAGAGACAATTACAAGTCTGCCCTCACAGGATACCTACCTCCACATATATGTAAGGAAGACAGACATTAGGTAAGAAAAAGAACAGACTTTGCATACCTGGTTCACCATTTCCTGGTTCCTAGTAACTCTTACATGTTCCACAGAATCCAGGGGAATCCAGCCAATGCCTCGGAGCCACTCCAGGTCGGCTTTGTAGATATTCTGAGAGTGAGAAGGCAGATACAACGTAGATATAAATGACTCAGGCACAAAAAGACAAAGAGAAGATTAGGAAAAAAAAATATTTTGGAAGCTTTTTAAGGATTTCTCTAGTGGCTGTTGTCTTATTCATTTAATCATAGTTTCCTTTGTTCACTCGAGTACAGTTCTTGAAACTGTTATTATGAACAAGGCACTGTATGTACTAGGTGCTTTGAAGGATAGTGTAATTAAGTATCTAGGAGTACAGAGAAGTCCTGGGTAGCAAAAACAGATAACATGCTTGACGGCTAATCAAAAGGTTGTAGGTTTGAGTTATTCCATAGATGCCTTGGAAGAAAACTTGATGATTTGCTTCTTAAAAAAAAAAATCATCCCCTGAAGAACATATGGAACATAGTCCCGTATATATATTTTCTGACATATGTTGGGTTTCTATGAGTTGGAATTGACTCCACATCAATGCTCTCCCCCCCCCCAAAAGCAGAGAGAGCATTTACAAGGAGCAAAGTGGTACTGGCTATGAGAGTGAGACCACCAAAGTACTATGCTAGTTAAGGGAAGGAGCTGCTATTTTCCCCTATGGGCATAAGAAAAGGCTTTACCAAGGAGGTTCTATTTTTAGATGGATTTGAAGCATTTAGTTATGTGGAAGTATGTGGGGGCATTTAAAGTAAATAAATTGCACCAGCAAATGGTCATGTAATTGTAGAGAAGCAGGAAGCATCTCCTCAGGCCAAGGATACTCTGCCTTCCCTCTCTTCAGCTCTTGGCTTCTCCTGGCCCACTTCACACCAAAGGAAGAGGTGCTGATCTGATGAAAGTTCTGCAATAGTCATTATTCCACAACAACTAGTGAGGTGGGATGTTCAAGTTCAGCACCTAGGCTACAGGAACTGTCTTCAATTTCTTGTTTCCTTCCTGGTTGTGATGGCAAGACCCAGGTAGTGGTAGCTTCTCTGTGCATCTAACCATACAAGTCACTGCACTGTATTTCTGTTCCCTACAAACTGCAGGTAGAGGATGTGATTCAGGCTTCAGTGGGAGGTGACATTTACATTCAGTAAAGCCTAGGAGCTCTGGTAGCATAGTGGCTAAAGCACTTGACTGCTAACCAGAAGGCTGGCAGTTCAAACCCACCAGCCACTCCTCAGAAGGAAGGTTGGGCAATCCTACTATCCGTAGTGATACTGCCTCGGAAACCCAAGGAGGGATCACTATGAGTTGACTCGACGGCACATAACAACAACAAGCTTGACCAAAGCTCTGTGTGAGGCAGTACTGGGTCCTCATGCAGCTAATCAATACTTTGTTTCCCTTTTACTTTGATTCCTTGCAAACTTCTTAAAAAATGCCTCAAGGAATGAAGAGCTTGGCAATCAAGATTGGAGTGTTCCAAGGTCCTTGACTATACTATCATTTAATTTTGTCAAAACCCCAACTCAATCTCAATTCCCACCTGCGCTAATTATAATTTTAAATTAGCTGATAACTTTCCATGTGAATGTGAGTGAAGAGTTGCTAATGACAGAAATGGGACAAAATCAGCAGGATTTTTTTAAAAAATTGGCTTTGATCTTGAAAGATCTCAAAAGCACATGCAAGACACAAAGTTATCAATCAGCAACCACCCTGATTTTTGTCTGCCTTATATTCAGCTTCAATTTCCTTCTGGGGAAAAAAAAAAGTTATGGCTCAAATTATCAAAGACTGGTGGTTCTCGAATATTGCATATATTTTCAAAATAACCATCACTTACATCACTCTGTAGGTCATAGGCCTTCCTTGCCTGAATAACATCATTTTGGTCAGGATGACATGTCCATTGGTGTAGGTAATTACGGTAATCAATGTCACTGACAAGACTCTGTCCCTCCTTGGCGGCCAACACAGATACCATATCAGGAGGTATATTGATTTTGGATTTTGTTTTGTGATAGTCCACTTTGTACAGTCTGTCATTCTGAATTTGGCCTGCATGTTCAAACCAAACCAGCTTAGGATCGTCTCGCATTGTCGGAACACCAACATAATGGCCTCTTTGCTTTACATGTTCAGCTTTGTATTTCAGCTGGTGGGAAGAAAAATATAGATTCCGTCAATTTTGACAAACACACAAGGTGAAAAGGACTTGACCTTCTTCTAAGGAACATTAGTAAATTCAGCCCCTCAGCTTTTTGTGTGACTTCTCTTGAGAATAAATAACAAAAAGTGTTGATAGAAATAAATATCGATTTTAAAATAGAAAAAAATATATACATTTATTTTCTAATTCTGACTATTTTTATTGTAGGCCTAGAGATTTCAGAAAGGCCTGAGAATACAGGAAAAAGTAAAGAACTCAAAACAGTAGCTTTTAAAGAAAAAAAAGAAGAAAAGCCAAAGCCCATGGGAAAAGGGTCAAAGGGGAGCAGGTATGCCAACTATTGCCAAGCCCAGCACAGTATGCCAAGCTGAAAAGGGACACTCTTAGGTGCTAGGCTTTAGACAAAGCTGAAATCCCTGATAGACAAGGTCCAACCTTTGGGAAGTATCCTAGAGTCAGTGTGAATTACCTCACTCTGAACATCATTAGAGTGATGGGCATGGACAAAGGGCACAGCATCAGGAGGCAAAATATAACCCGTGGCTTTTTGTTTCTCCCAGCTTTCCTTGTACTGGTACTGAAAGACAGAATAGCAACAAAGGTTACAATGGGGAGTCAGACTGGAAGGATAAATTGATGGTTTAAATCTCAGAAATACAGTTATCTGTGGTTCATGTCCCTATACAAAGTAACAGGCATCTGGGTAAATCCATACCTGGTCCAATATCCGGGCTGCCTCCTGGGCAGTGTGCAGCAAGGGGGTTTCTGTGAGGGTATACTTTGATTTGTTGTCATTCCAATCTTTCCGGTATTTAATCTGAAATTCATAGGAAGTAAGTTACTCAGAGTTAAGAAAACATCATGTTGTCCAGGCATGCTAGCATCAATAACTTCAATGATTAAAACTTGTATCTCAGGAAATGATTGCATGCTGAGTTTAAGCAGGTGGAAAAGCTTTGGAAAGGATATCTGCATGATTGTGCAATTTTAGAACAGTCATGTACTTACATCATTCAGGATCTCACCGCTTTGTTTTGCTGTCACATAATCAACTCTGTCATCCACAGGGGTAAAGTTGAGAGTTTCTATTTTTGTGCGATATTTTTTCTGTAGGGAAGAAAATTGTCTTTTAGACAAAGTTGTAGTCCTTGGTCCTGTGAGAGTTGAGAAAGATATGGTAAATTGAAGGGTCCCTCTCCACTAAACGACCACACTCAGTTTGCTGCCCTGTGGTGGTTTGCATGTTGTTGTGATGCTGGAAGCTACAGCACTGGTATTTCAAATATCCATGGTAGACAGGTTTCAGCAGAGCTTCTAAACTAAGATAGACTAGGAAGAAAGGTGTGGCAATCTACTTCCAAACGTTAGCCAATGAAAACCTTATGGCTCACAACAGAACAATGCCGAACTCACATATTTAGAACACTATCAGGAGAAATCAATGGCTAGAGAAGGACATCATGTTTGGTGAAGTAGAGGGGAAATGAGGGTGAAGGATACTCTCAGTGAGACGGATCAGCACAGCAGCCACAACGTTACATGCTAGCAATTGTGAGAATGACATAGCAATGGGCAACATTTCATTCTATTGTACATAATAAAGTTGGAGTCAACTCGACAGCAGCTATCTGTCTCTACTGAAGCTTAGAGTGCCATATTAGAATAGCATCTTCATGGCAATTAGGTTTTGTTTTTGGTATTTTGTTTTTAAACAAATGGGTTGGTTTCCATGGCTCCCATTGATTTTAAAGTGGCAAGTTTGCTCATTTCCCGGTCATGTGATGGATCTTTATGTGTATCACTTTATTCTTAACACATTTTTTGAACTGGACAAGGATCTCCCTAGCATAATGGTATTGTTGACAAAATAATCTTGTCATGTATACAATTCTGAGCTTTGATGGTATAGTGCCTAAGGCATTTGACTGCTAATCAGAAGGTTGGTGGTTCAAACCCACCAGCCACTCTCCGGAAAGAAGACTGGGTAATTGACTTCTGTAAAGATTTACCATCTCAGAAACCCAAAGGGGGTCGCTGTGAGTCAGAATCGATTCAATGGCAGTGAGTTTGGTTTTGGTTTTCAGTTTAAGCATAAATGAAGGTGTTCTAGTGCCATGGTGTTTTACTGCTAACTGAAAGGTTGGTGGTTCAAACCCATCAGCTGCTTCACGGGCGAATGATGTGGCAGTCTGCTTCCATAAAGATTATAATTTTGGAAACATTATAGGGCAGTTCTACTCTGTCCTACAGGTTCCCTATGAGTTGGGATTAACTCAAAGGCAATAGTGTTTATTTGTTTGGTTGTTGGTTTTATGCATAAATGAATGCTGTGGGTATTATGTTATGGATTTTGTGCCATAATGTAATAGGGATAGTACAGGATTATTTTGAAAAAATGTTTGCCTGATCTAAATTAAAGCAGTTAAAATGGCAGATGTGGAATATCTGCACTTTGGCTTCTGCATTGTGGGTTCATCCTTTTGGGAAGTATAATGAATGGCAGGGTAACATCTTGGAATACCTCACTGAAGATATCCGCAGCATGTTTGGCGTGATTGACAGAAACAGAATCACTTGGCAACCATCCAATTCCACGTAACCATTCCAAGTCAGCCTTGTAAACAGCCTGTGAAAACAAGACTAGGTTAATTCAACAACCCTGATCACATGATCCGATTTATCATATCCATTGGTCTGGTGGAGAAATACAATTTAAATACTATGTCACTCCAGAATGACAAACTCAAGCAGCCAGGTAGGTAACATAAGTAAATTAATTAGGAGGTCAGGTAGTGTGGCAAACTGGAGAATATATTTTCTATTTAAAAAAGGGTAGTCCCCACTCAGTTCCAGCTTCTTATTGCCAAGAGGTAATTCAGGTCCAGAGCTACTTTCTCTGATATTTATAAGAAATAGGAAATCTGGATTTGGATTAAAACTTCCTGATTTAAAAATGTTCAATTTTTTAAACACTATGTCACCTGAAGAAGCATACCCGTGGCTACATCCTGTCCAAGTGCTGACAATATTTGACTTCTGATATAAACTTTAATGACTACCTAAACTTCACAAGAGTGATATTTTTACAGTGTTTTCCTTTACCTGATACAATTAAAAAACTGTATTCACACTGCCATTTATTTCTTGATTCAAAGACAGATCCTCCATGGCTTTGATGGCTTTGATACCATACTATAAATTCTACCTAATACCTGGTTCTGGGCTGTATGAAGATTTGACATGATAATATAGATTTTAATGTCATAAACTTTGAGAATCATAGCCAAATAGTAGAAGCACTCATAAAAGGCAGGCCACTCACATCACTTTGCAGTTCATAGGCTTTCTTGGCCTGAATCACATCATTCTGGTCAGGCATGCATGTCCACTCGTGTAGGTAATTACGGTAATCGATGTCACTGACTAGAGTCTGACATTTTTTCGAATGTAAGATGGAAAGCATATCCGCAGGGCTTTGGAACTTGGTCTTCCATTTGGCCCAGTGCATCCGATACTCTCTCTCATTCTGAATCTTGCCAGCTATGAGGGCCCAGCGGATCTTGTTGTCATCCCTGGCTGTGCGGGTGCCCACATAGTGTCCCTTCTGCTTCTCGTGGTCAATCTTGTATTTGTACTGGGGACGGGAAAACAAAGCAGATGGGTCACAGCATGTACTCCTGATGTACCCGTGACATTTGTTTAAAAACTGAGAAGTTAAAAAATACCACACTTACATCACTGGCAATCTCCCGGGAGGCCTTGGCAGCCTGGATAGGGATGGCATCTAGCCGTACATCACAACTCATCTTCATCTCATCCCAACCTTCTCGGTAAATTTTCTGAAGAGGAGAAAAAATAAGCTATCTTTCTAGATTCAAATTTACCAATAACTGCAAAGACTCAAGCAGAATTAACTGTTACGAAGCCCTAGAACTTAAGACCAGCTAAAGAAAAGAGATAGGTGGAAGGATTATTCTATGGGATATGTAATGGTGTCTGGACTCAATGCAGTGGGTTTGGTTTTGGAATAGTGTCTGGAGTGCAAAGATCTGAGTTCAAGAATAAATCATTCTTTTTCATGTTACTCATAGCCTTGCTGTAGTTGTTCATGGATAATGATCTCATGCGTAATGTAAAGGGTATAGCTGCTGCTTGTGTTATTATATTAGAAGCATTGGGATAAGTTCAGACATTTATGGGTTACTATTGAATTCCTTTCATTCAATAATTCAATTTCTTTAATTCAGTTCCATTTTGTGATCTTCAGAACTATAAACTTTTCACATTTGTGTCTTTCCCAATCTAGTTCTTAGATCTTCTTTTAGAATTGATGATGCTTATTGCTTAGCAATGTTAGACCTTCTGCTAAACCACAATTGGATGTAACAGTTATTTTTTCAATATAGTGCTATTTTGTTCTTACAAAGAAGTTAACTAAGGTAGTGGATACTTTTAAAAATATATTTAAATATCTATTCATATTTAAACGAATACATTCTATATTGACAATGGCAGAAAGACTCAGAAAAAAACAGTAATTTAAATGTGTAATGAATACATTTTACCAAACAGCATGGCAACTTCTGCACTGCAGAATGGAGAGGTAATTCCAATTATTGACAGTTTCATAGCCTTTGCCTATCTGAGAAATGAATGCTCAGATAAATTTTGTTCTTGCAACCATGGACAAGTTTTATATGAGTTTGCATTAGGCTTTACTATGAATATCGGGCCGATTTTAACAATTGAATTGCTTTCTGTACAAAGGAGAAAGTATTCGTCACACCAAAATGTATTATATTAGCAAATATTTAATGCAAACTTGTCATTATGTTATCTTCTTGTTTCATCTTATTTATTATTTTATTACATATATTATCACACTTTTTTCTTATTAAAATTTTTTTGTCTGTTTACATGTTTCAAATATATACTTTCTTTGCACTCACACACAAAACGTATTTATGGCCTTGAGCTCTGACTTTTCATCTATTGACTTTGAGGATTTGGGCAAATTCCTTAACCCATTTAAATCTCACCTTTCCTGTCTGATATAAACAAAATAACAAGATTTTATTTATGTGGTGTGAAAATTAAGTAAATCAATTTATTGCAAATTGATTTGTTATCTATGAGATCATATGCAAATAGTTTATAAAGTAATGCTTTTTGAAGTGATGGAAGCAGTTTTGAACAGTGAATTTTATCAGGATTATAGAAATGGCTGTATCACGTGTAGAGAAAATGACTTTATATTTTGCTTAGCATCAAATGGAATGTTTGATTTCTTCCGAAGTGCAAGCATTCTCATTAATACCTAAAACTAATACACTTTACTATTGGCATACTTTCAAATACTAATCTTGCTTACTTAATGATACTAATATTAAGGTTCTAATGTTTCCAGCTGAGATACTTATCATGCAAAAGAAAGCACAAGAGACTTTCCAGAATCTTCCTGCCAAATTGCCTGGGGAGAGAACTGAAGCCTATGCAGCAGTGAAGAGCTAACTACTCAGTCTAGCGGGTTAAAAGCAACAGTGCCATGCTCCATAATATTGCTTGTGGTCCAAAAAAAATACTCTGTGTCCTAAAATTCTATTTGCTTCCCAAACATCGGAAAATATTAGCCCCCAAGTGGCTCGCTACAATCGAGTTAATGGAGCAGTTTGGCAAACGATCTTTGTTTGGCAGGCTCCTTCTCTTAAAAAGATTTATTGTTCTTCTGCAAGGCCTCAAAGTTATAAACCATGGGGAATTGCACTGAGGTAATACCTTTCTTCTAAGATCATACTTACTTTAAAAAAAAAACCAAACCAAACTCACTGTCAACGAGTTGGATCCGACTCATAACGACCCAGCCTTGGGTTTCTGAGGCAGTATCACTACAGCATTAGATTGCCCAATTTTCCTTCCAAGGAGTTGCTGGTGGGTTTGAACTGCATGCCTTCTGGTTAGCAGTTGAATGCCTTAGGCACTACGCCACCAGAGCTCCCATGCTTACTTTATACACAAGAAATCTCTGATATTCATGAAAGTAGTACCAAGTTTCTTGAATTTGATTTCACAGTCAGCCATACAGGGAATGCTCTTATTGCATCTCTTAGATTTTCAATAAATTCACTTGCTGTTTCCTGGCATATATTATTTCTTCTACAAATAATGATAATTTTGCCTTTCTTTTAACATTTATCTCTTATTCTTACTTTTATGTAATTGCCTCCAACAAATGTTAAATAATGGTAATGTTAAAGGCTACCCTTATTTTATTCCTGATTTTTCTTCATTAAAAAAAATTTTTTTATTATCATTTGGGTGAAAGTTTACAGAGCAAATTAATTTTCCATACAGCAGTACATACACACTTTGTTTCATGACACTGACTGCAATTTTCCACAATGCAACAGCTGTCTTCCCACTTCCTCCCCGTGGTTACCTCTACCTTGTGTCCTTCTTTCTTTCCTATGCATTCCTGCCCCCTGAACTATCTCCCTGTGCAAACACTGCCCTTCTGTTCTCCCTTGATGGATCTCTCTAAGGAGTGTATCTACCTAATGTAAATGTTCACTCTATATACCTATCTGTTATTTGGCTGGAAGCCACAGGAGTAAGCTCAGTTCCAGACCTGAAGGGTAACTAGGGGCCATAGTCTCAGGGATCTCACCAGGCTCTATCAGACCAGTAAATGTTTTTGTTGTTGTTGTTTTATGATTTTGAGTTTTGTTCCACATTATTCTTCCTCTATCCAGGATCTCCTACAGTGATCCCTTTCTGAGTGGTTGATAATGGTAGCCAGGCACCATCTAGTCCTTCTGGTCTTACGGTCATATAAACTGGAGACCACATGGTCTACTAGTTCCTTGGACGAATTGTTTCCATGTATCTTTGATTTTCTTCATTTTTCTTTGCTTTGGACGAGGAGAGACCCAATGTTGCATCTCAATAAACAAAACCAAACTCACTACCATCGAGTCAAATCTGACTCATAGCAATGCCTCTTTGGGTTTCTGAGGTGGTATCTCTATGGAGGTAGGTTGCCCAATCTTCCTTCCAAGGAGTGGATGATGGGTTTGAACCTCCAGCCTTCTGGTTGGCAGTCAAATGCCTTAGGCACTGCACCACCAGAGACTGTTTTAGTCCTGATTTTAATGAGATGTTTACTTACTAAGGATGAGGATGACCTTTGATTTGAAATTTATTTTTAAAGTCATGTCAAGAAATATAGTCATCTAAACAACAACAACATTCCTATTTTACTAAAACTTTTACTATTTTACTAAGACTTTATTAAGACGTGGATGAACTTGGAGGACATTATGCTGAGTGAAATAAGTCAATCACAAAAGGACAAATACTGTATTAATCTATTATTGTAAAAGTCAAGGAAATGCTTATCTGTGGAAGGACATTTTCTTTGTTGGTTACCAGGGATAGGAGGGGAAGGTAGAGACTTCAGTTAGATAGATAGAGATAAGTTTTGATTTGGGTGAAGAGAAAGGCAATGTACCAAATGTGATTGATCATTATAGGGGCATTGAGGAAGAGAAAGACATAGAGAGGTACGTGCGAAGTACAGACAACAAAGATGAACCCTTTTGCACATATAGTATGACGTGGTCAGTGAGGGCAAACACGGGTATATGGATGGATAGATGGATGGACAGGCTGAACTATTAGATATGTCTATGAAGTGGGGAGTGCACCCAAGAACATGTATAGGGTTGACAGACAGTGGTCCTATAACTTTATGTGTATGATATGAATTCCCAGGTGTATAATGGAGCTGACAAGGGGCAAGGTTGTAGTCACTGCTTGGTCACAGCCAGCTACCCAGAGGGACCAAGTAGTTGAACCTGTGGGCTCCGGACCATAGTCACAGGGGACATCAAGCTCAATTGGCATGACATACTACAGAAAACATTGTTCCACCTCCTACTGTGGTGAGTAGCGACTGGGATCTTAAAAGCTTGCAAGCTGCCATCTAGATGCAATGATGGGTCTTTCCTCATCCAGAGCAAAGAAGAATGAAGAAACCAAAGATTCATAAACAATTAGTCCTAGCGACTGGTAAACCATCCGATCTGCAGCCTATACAACTATGAGAGCAGAAGAACCATCTAGTGCCCAGCTACTACTGTCAACCACTTGGAAGAGGATCTATGTAGGAGATTCTGGATAGAGAAGGAGAACAATGTGGAACAAAACTCAAAATCATTTGGGAAAAAAAAAAGTGGGGGGGACCAGGTTTGCTGGGCCAATGGAGCCTGGTGGAACCACTGAGACTATGGCCCCTAGATGCCCTTCAGGTATGGAATTGAACACACACCTGTGACTTCCAGCCAAACAATGGACAGGCATATGAGTTGAACATTTACCTGAGGTAGGTACACTCCTTGGAGAGAACAACTATGAGAGAAAGAAGGGCTGGTTATGCACAGGGAGACAGCTCAGGGGGCAGGAATGCATGGCGGGATAGACACATGGAAGAGGTAACTGTTGGGAGGAAGTGGGAGGGGAGATATTGCTTTGTGGTAAATTGTGGTCAATGTCATGAGACAAAGTGTATGTGAACTGCTGTATAGAAAGCGTATTTGCTCTGTAAATTTTCACCCAAATCACAATAAAAAGAAAAGAAAAAAAAACAACAAGAAAAGACTTTTTTTCATATGCCTTTTCAAATCTAATAAAATGAGCACTTTTTTCCTATTATAGTATTTGGTTTCTGAATATGGAACCCTCTTGGCATTCCTGGATGAATTCTACTTGTTTGTAAAGTATCATTTTAATGTGTTTATTAGATACATTTATGTAATATAGTTTATTTTATGTGTCAATATACTATTTACAATTTTCCCTATTATTACTGGTTTTCACTTGTGGAATTATCTTTGACAAGTTTTGGTAATTGCATGATGTTCCTTCTTTATGTTCTATAGTATTTCATTTGTTCTTTGACGTTCTGAAAGAATTCTGTCAAATTGTCTACATGAGCCTAGCATTTATGGAGAGGGGGAAAACTCTTTACTAACCTTCTCAATTTGTTGTTTTATGTTTTTAATTTTTTTTTCTGGGTCACTTTAGTGGTTTATAATTTCTTAGCTAATCTCCCATACTTTTAAAATTAATTTGTAGACTTTCTCAAAAGAATGTTCATAATTATTTTGAGTTCTGAATCCCTCGCTGCTTCCCCTTTCTTGTTTGTGTGTTTCATAATTCTTCTTTATCCCCTTTGTCCTTATTCCCTTCTCCCTTTGGCCATGTTGACATTGGCTCACCAGAACCTGGCCTTGCCTAGTGACTAGGGACTTACTCTCTCCTCCCTCCTGGTCAAAGGCTGATGGCAAAGAGCCTTCCCTATCCACAGCACTGCCTAGGAAGAGGTCTATGCTGATCTTATAGCTCTAACTGAATGACTTTCCAAACATAAAAAGAGTCCATCATTATACTTACATTGCTCACATTAAGAGCATTTGCTCTTGCTAGATTAATTTCCGGAGTATCTGGCATTATGTGGATGGAAGTTTTATCCTTGTCCCAAACTTCTCTGTACTTTGGCTATGGAAAGAACCAATAATAACAATAAAATTACTTCATAACTTGTTATTTTGCCAATTCTAGTACACAAATTTCAACTTGTCTGATTCAAAATATTTTCATATCAAGGCAAATACTTCTAGATTTTTTTCACAGAAGTTACTTAAATTTGATACAAAATTCCTATGTGTACCTTTTAGTACTATGAACTTTTTTTAAAAAGTTAATAAGCAATAATAAAACAACCCTGTCCATATTAAAAATTAAATCTTTATTGTCAATATTATTATTATCATAGAAATAGATTCCTAGGTTATGTATCATTAATTTATAGTACTAATTTAATTTTAATATATAGAGAATAAAATGACATACAATACTAATATTTTCAGCATTTGCTTTAGCGAGGACAACTTCAGGAGTGTCAACGATACTTGTGTACTTAAGATTCACCACAGGTGTCCGATAGACACTGTCACTTAGGATATGTTGGGCATTTTTGACTCTCAGTACTTCAGGAGACCCTTCAGGCATCCAACCAATGCCACGCAACCACTCCAAGTCAGCCTTATAGATGGCCTGGGAAAGAAAATGAAGTTATGTAGAAGAAGTTACATATTATATTTGATTTTCCACTAACAATAATAAAAATAGAGCACTTGCCAGGCAAACATAACCCCTCATATGCACAGTAGTGTTTTGTTTTGTTTTCTATGGCAGAGGGTCTATGTTGGAATGCTTCCACACTTACATGATGTGGAAGCAGCTCTATGTTTTGAGGATCATACTCGATTTTTGAATAATTTTCAGGTAATCATCATACTAGCCAAAGGAGACTTTTAAGTAATACTAATGAGCTCTTCATGAATTCTCCACACAGCTCAGAATGATCTTTTCAAAATTCCAAATTCAAGTCTGATGTTGTAATGCTTCTCTTTGATCTATGTGTTCTGTCCCCACTGGCCTTCTTGGTGGCCAGTGCATGGTTTACACGCAGCACCTTTTGTATACATTGGTCATTCTGTGTGGCACATACTCAGTGTCCTCCTCATGGAGCCAACCCTTACCTTTCTTTCACATTCCGGTCAAACCATCACTTCCTCAGAGAAGTTTTCCTTCACCTAGTACCATGGATCACCCAGATACCACTTTTTTTTACTGATATTCTCTAATTGGTATCTATTTCTTTGCTATAAATGTGAATTCCTTAAGATCTGGAGCACAGGGAGTCTTTTTCTTCTTTTTTCACATTGTATCTTTAATGCTTAGCACAATGCCTGGCACATGGTATGTTTATTTAAGTATCTTTAAAGGATATTTTTAAAGGATAATTAAGAATCCAATTGATTCTTCTACAATGTTGACCTAGATTGTTTTCTTTTCCCAAGATCCTTTGAATCATATTTGCATTTTATTGGTTATCTAAAGTGTCCTCAGATATAGGTAATTGGTTAAGCAAAGAAAATTGCTTTATGTTCAGTACCAGTTACTAATTTTATTACTTTTTTAGAAAGGAGCCCTGGCGGCACAATAGCCAAGCTCTCAGCTGCTAACCCGGTAGTTCTGAAGAAGAAGGAGTTGGCACTTTGTTCCCATAAACACTATAGCATCTGGGGCAGTTGTACTTTCTCATATGAGGGTCACTATGAAGCAAAATTGTCTCTCTGGCACCTAATGACAACAACAGTTTTATAAATGTTGTTGCTGTTTTCAGAAATGGAATTTTTGAAGCTAGTTGATGTGATGTAAATATTGGGCTAAAATGGTAGTAAGAGGAGTGAAAATGTTGGAAAATCTCTGCCTTAAAAAGAATGACATTATATATTTTAATATTGAAAGTGTGATGGATACTCAAATTTAAAAGAAAGGATTTTCAAAGAAGATTACATGCAGATTCTGAAGATTCCTTTCCTCAGTCTTTAAGAAATTGATTGATGTGTATACCTTAATATACAAATGTGGTTCAGGTTAATGAGGAGACTGCATTTCTCTAGAAATTGGCCTAAATTCACCACGTGGCACTTCATTTCAAGTGATGGGTGTTCTTTCCTATAAAAACTCATTCATTGTAAGATAGTATCCCTTGAAGCTTAAGAGAACCAAGTTTAGATAAAGAAAGAAAGATATCCATTCTTTACAATAAATAAATAACCTTATGGAATCCATCATTTCCAAAAGATAAAATGGGAAGAAAATGTGAGTTAAACTAAAAGAGTCTTAGAGAAATTAATAAAACACCATGTTGTGAAGACCTACTAAAGGAAACTAGTGAGCTTTGGAGCATGCCTTTGAAAATCATTTCAAGGACTACAGCTCTGTCTTTGAATGCATAATTGAAGGGCCAAGGGAATTCTTCTGTTTAATAAACTACAAATATCATACACTATAATAAATCTATGGAAAAACTCTGGTAGTATCTTTAAAAATAAAAATGAATAAACATTCTGGAAAGTAACTTAAAAGAACTCACTGTCGTGTAGTCAGATCAGACTCATAGTGACCCTTCCTCGGGTTTCCAAGGTGGTATCACTACGGAAGTAGATTGCCTACCCTTCCTTCTGAGGAGTGGCTGGTGGGTTTGAACCGCCAGCTTTCTGGTTAACAGCCAAATGCCTTAGGCACTACACTACCAGAGCTCCCTTTTGGAAAGCAGGCAACTAATAAATGTGGTATTAAAATACTAAAATGTGGTAAAATACTAAAAAAAGGGAGAGTTGAGTTTTTCAAACTGTTGGAAGGAGTCATAAGGCAAAATTATGGCAAAACCTCAGGCCCTCATTTGGTCTCCCTACACAATTTCACACTTACGTCACTCTGCAGGTCGTAGGCTTTCCTGGCTTGGATCACGTCATTCTGGTCTGGAAAGCAAGACCACTGGTGGAAGTACTGGCGGTAGTCCACATTGCTTGCTAATGCCTGGCCTTCTTTGGCAGCATAGATGGACACCATGTCCACGGGGATGGTAATCTTGGCCTTGTGGTCATTGTAGGCCTTTTTGTACAGCCTATCATTCTGCATTTTCAACACATTTGCTGCCCAAACCAGCTTAGGATCTTCCTTGGCAGTGCGACATCCAACATAATGGCCTTTCTGTTTCTCATAAGCAGTTTTGTACAGGTACTGGTTGATGTGAACAGGAGAAAGAAGAGTAGTTTTTCCAAACTCACTTTTTCTAGAGATCCTACTCAGAACAATTCTATCTCCTTCTACCTCCCTTTGATTATCTTTTTTTTTTTCTTTCTTTTCTTTTGGATACTGTTTTTCTTTAAATCCATACTATAAGTTTCATACTTCTTGATACATTGGCTTATCTTTTATGCCTATGTACATAAGAACATTGTGATAACTTTAAGGCAACAACACTGCTTTTGGGTTATCTTCCCAATAAAGCCTTGTCCAGTGTTTCCCACCCATCAGATATTTGCCACCCTCATATGTTTTGCCATAAAAAAAGTACCCTCTCTACCTCACACTTTATTTTGAATCACCTTAATTTTTTGCTTAAGTAAATTTGTTTTTAAAGTGTAAATTTATTTTAAAATTTGTAACGCTATCTAAATGGAGAAATATCAGTATTTTTTTTTTTTTTTTTTTTAGCAAAAAGAAACATATAACTATTAAAAAAAAAAAAAAAACTTTCCCCACATACTGCATAATATTATCACAGGAACTACCAGTATAGTATGGATGCCACACTTTGGGAAACAACAGAATTCTCTGTACTCATTAGATCTCCATAACTGTTTGTATTAAGAAGATACTGGAAACAAAATCAAAGTCTGTGAACCAAGCACAGATGCGAGAGAGTCCTCAGATTGTACTATGACGTTTCTCTCGGACTTGGGGTTTTAAAACTAATAACAATGGATAGCCTTTTACTTAAATTTAATTCCCATGGAATTAAATGAGAAGTTAATACATTATCAACCCCTATGTGTCTCCTAGTTAATGTTTGTTAAACTTGGCCAAGGAGGAGCTCTTACATCACTGGCAATATCCCTGGAAGCCCTGGCATGCTTGATTCCAATGGCATCTGCTCGCAGGTCATAGCCGGTCATCTTGAACTCTTCCCAAGCTTGCTGGTAATGTTTCTGCAAATAGAGATTGCAATGCCACAGTCAATCCAAAGAAGGAGCTACTGAGTAAGCATTACTGATGTGTTTGTTCAAGGACAGCCAATAACAGTAACACTGAAGATTAATCTCCCCTATGATTTATAAAATAGGCTGAACTTGAGTTCCTATAAAATTTTAATGACAGTAAGTAAAACTCCCAATAATTAAAAAAAAAGAAAAAAAACTAAGCCCACTGCCATGGAGTCGACTCATAGTGACCCCTCCTTGGGTTTCTGAGGCAGCATCACTATGGAAGTAGATTGCCCAACTTTCCTTCCGAGGAGTGGCTGTTGGGTGTGAACCGCCGGCCTTCTGGTTAGCAGTCAAGTGCCTTAGGCATTATGATACCAGAGCTCCTTACCAGAGCTTAGGAGACAATAAATCATGTGAAAATCAGAAAAAAAAAAAAAAGTATTTAGCTTTTAAAAGGAAAAGTAATGATAATCCAGTGAATATTATTACACATGCATCTGTAAGTTTTTGTATTGTGTTTTTGGTGAAATTCTGCATTTTACCTTCCAAAAAAGACACACAAATATTTACATTATAAAAATACATAAGACACATGCAGACAGCAACTTAACATTAGCTTGAAGATTAGAAATTCAAGGAATGGTAGGGAAATACATTTTGCCAAACTCTTTTTGGAATGTCTGGCTGAAAGATCAGCTTAGATAGACAGCATTTTGCACAGCAAACGAAGGTGTAGTATCTTACATTGCTGATCTGTACTGCATTGATCTTGGACTGCAGCATCACCGGGGTGTCAGCTGGTACACTCACATTACTCTTCTCTTTGTCCCAAGCATCACGATACAATGGCTGGTAAAAAAACGAAAACCAAAGAGGTGTCTGATTAGTAAATAATTGATTTTCCACATAGAATAAAAGTATAGGTAAAATTAAAAGTTCTCTTGGATGTCCTCAGACATAAATATAGATCACTGCTTGTCTTCATTTGTCTTTTTATGTAAAATATGTCAAATGTGACCTCAACAACAAAGATATGTTGATGTGTGATACCATATAGATTTTAAATGAGTCAGAAATATGGTAGTAAAAATATTATTTTCCATTTATCCATATTTAGTCATCTGGCAGCTAAGTCCAATTGTAGGTATTACAGGTATCTATGATAATCCTAACCAGAACCTGACTTTCTGGGCCCAAATGATAACTATAATGTCCAATATTAGAGTTGCCACTGGAGTTTTCAACCTGTTTCATGATTGAATAGAAATAAGGGGGTGGAAATTTTGTGATTATGGTATGAATAGGCCAGTATTATTGTCAGGATTCCAAAATGTGATCAAAGTGTGTATCAGAGTCTGTGGAATGTGAAGATGTTTACTGCACTTATATTGACCAAAGAATTATCAAAGCAAATGCAAAGTGGAGACTGCTAACTCATTGACTAGAAAAGTCTGTCAGGTGCAATGCAAGTATTACCAGTTTAACGCTCAT